TCTTATCCACAATTGCCCTTGGTTTTCTGGGTATGTTGTGAAATCTGGGCGGTTTGGTGAAATTAACTATTGACAAACAAGTGCTTGCATTTCAAAATTATAGTTCCTACTCTACAGAAATACTTAAATGTGGCAGGAGCCCAACAGGCTCCCCATTTCCTTAAGGAACCCTTCTGAAACAACAGTAACATTCTTCCTGTAGCCATAAGGAGAGATACTGAGGTTGTTTTTTCTCCCCCCTGAAAACCGCTGTGCTCCTGTATGAGCAGCCCTGACCTTGGCCTTCAAGCCGTGTGCCAGGGCTGGAATCTCTGCCCGACGTCACTGCTGCAGCAGTTGTGTCTGCCCGCGCCACGCTATCTCCTTGCTTTGGGTTTCTGAGGCGGTGTGACACTTGCCATATATTGGGCAAACTACGGCCGCCTATCCAGGAGCCCTCCGCAAGGTGCTCAGTGCTTGTTTTTGGCAGACCTCAGCATTCCTGTGGCTCTGTGGGGTGGGCGCAGGCAGCAGGTACCGCTCGGAGGGAAGCTTTTGAGCAGCCTGTGGTGAGCCTGCAGCTGAATCACCCCTCCTGCCCCTTGTGCGGGGGCAGAGGAGCTGCAAGTGCTGCTGGTGGCTGGGACCCCCAGGCAGGTGGGTGTTGGGGGCTCTGCCTGGGAAGCTGCTGGTCCACGCACCTCCACAGCCTCCGCAAGCTGTCTTTTTGGATCATTGCAGTGTTATTGCCGATGTATTTTGAGAACACCCTTAAAAGGTCTCGTGGAAACTGGAAATTAGATCGTTAAAGGTACGATTATCACAGTTCACTCCGAGATGTTCACATTTTAAGTTTTGTTTTTCTTACAATTTTTCCTCTAAAAAAGAAAAGGGAAATTGGCATCTTTTTAAAATCAAGGCCTTCCTGGGCAAATCCACACTGCAGGCAGTGGCTGCTGGTGGTAAAGATGCAGGAGTTAGCTGGAAAGCCTGCAGCCAAGCTGCTCCCCAGCTGCGAAGCTCCAACCTCCGACCTGATGGGACGCTGGGGCCGGATGCTGCCCCGTGCAAACCCCAACGGCGGGAGCATTACACCCGGGAGGAGCCTGTCTCACAGCCAGGATTAACCTTGAGTGTCTGCCAGCTCCCTCTGGTTTCCATCGTGAGTGGGCAGCTGGGGGTGAGATTGGCTGGGCACCCAGGGCTTTGCTCAGCACCGTTTGTACGTAGATGCAGATGTATAGGTACACTAGATCCGCACATGCATGAAGGTATATTTGTACTTGCACAACTCTTCTCATTGCAGAAACAGCTATTCAAAAAGCTGTCTAAAAAGCCACTTAAGCCTTACCTTAATTGCTAACCTACTTTGCAGCTTTAAATAATTATGCTTCAAAAATACTCCAAGGTCTTCTGGGGGTCCTGCTTCTGTCATCTAAGCAGCTGCTACTGTGGGAGTCGTTTTTGCTCATTTCCTATCTGAAATACATAGTGCGAAAAATAGGGAAAGCACAGTATGGAAGGCCTTATGTGAAAGACAAATTAGCCCTTTTCAGATTTCTGGCTGTAGAGAGGAGAAAAAAGGTAACAGGTCATTAGAGGAAAGCTCTGGTTCTGCTGGAATTGAAAAAATTTCTGGATAAATAATACATTTTTAGCAAAGCTTTTATATCTGCTGCTGGTTATTTCTTAGTAGTGTCTGCTCTACAGTAGCACCTCAGACTGAGTGCCAAGGCTCTGTAGCACAGGGCACCCATGCAGACGTGGCACAGGGAGAAGCAGAGGGTGCCCTGGGCTCTGCTGGGGACGAGACAGTGGGACTGTGCCGGGAGGACGGGCAGGGTGCTGGGGAGGACAAGACAGGGAGATGTTTGTTGCATCAGGACTTAACTATGGCAGATACGTTGCAGTTGACTATCTCTTCCATTTAATCAGTGTTCAAAAAAAGCCTTGGAAATTGAGATTATCAGGGAAGGATAGTGGAGTGGCATCTACACGAATCATTGATTCTGATGGCTGCTGCTCAAAAGATGGGAAATCACTCAAAATGTTTCTTGCCTGAAAAACAGAGGATAAAATTGCTGCTCCAGTTATTAACCTACAATTTCAGTAGGATCTGCATAGCTCTCATGAAGAATAGAAGATAGCAGCATTCTTGAAGTACACAACTGACAGCAAGATCAGAGGAGAGAGGTGAGCCTGAGTTTTGATCTCATCAGTAATTGTCCCATTTCATGCTTTACTCTCAAGGGATGAGGGCCTTAGAAGAGACAGCCGTACTTCAGCAAAGAGCGAGCCCTGACCTGTATGAAAGGCAAACTGTGCCAGTACTCTGGTAACAGAGTTAGACTTTGGTTGAAATTAAACATCCCAGCTAGCTGTTCACACAACAACAGCAACAGTTTCTTAAGTCCTGTCTGCACTGGAAAGCATTTTTCAGCCTATGGTATGATTTAAACCAGTCCAGTATTGGTTCCTCATCTGTTCTTGAGGAAGCATTTTTATTTGTTTAAAACCTCTCTCTCCTCGGTTTAATTTATGTCTCTTGGGAAGTGGAACAAAAGGGAGTGTATAGTCTGGACTAAAGAAGCTACTCTTATTATCAGAGTGAAAATATCTGAGCAAAAGATAACCAGGCTGCTTCCCCTACGAGTGCATCGTTGTGCTTCCCACAGCCCTCCTTAAGAGTGAGTGCTCTTTAAGCTGGTGCATTATGAGTAGTTTCAAGTCCTGATGTCCCTGGGACTGCTGCTTGTACTAGTGCAGGTTTCAGGACCTCCCTGTGTTTTGGGAGCAGTGAAATGAGATGGGGGAGAGGGGTGGGAAAGGTGGGGGGCCGCGTGGGACCGCCTACCCCTGTACCTGCTGCAGCCTCAGCCTGGCAAGCGCAGGGCAGTGATGCTGTGTGTATCTTTCCTTAATTAAACTTTGATGCTGACAGCTGCTCTTTTGGTGTGTGAGATGTCCCTTTGCTTGTGTAGTAGCTGGATGGGCAGAGCTGCCCATGGACATGGAGAGGTGCTGGCCATGAGCGGCAGTTTGGAGCAGAGGGGCTGAGAAGCAGGGCAGTGTTCCTTGCCCTGGGGTCTGTGTTGGTGTCTGACTCCTTTTTTTAAAAGTTGCAAGAGTTTTTTTCAGAAGATTTGCAGTATAGGTTCTAGCTCCCATCTCTCCCAGGGCTATTTGCTGTTTTAGTGGATTTTGGGTTTATTCATACTGTGGGACCAAATGGGGCTTTTCTTAGTATAAAGATTTTTTCCAAGAAGTCCTGACATTGTCACATTCGCTTTTAATATAATTTGATTTCTAAGAGCTCGCCTGCAGGCATTCAAACAATACCAGAAACCAAAATCAGATGTAATTTTGTCCAAAAAGTTGTGGTGACCTACTGACTGTTAGAAGCTAACAGCCTCATCCAGTGTTTTGACAAAAAGCAAGTTTTAGCAAATAACTTAAAATCCTATTTCTCCCCATACTGCCTGGACATGTGTTGACTTGTGATTCTGCTAAGCACCTCTCCTGCTGCCATGCCTTCCGAAAAAGCACCTTTTCCAGAGATCTGATCGAACAAGGGTGTGGCAAGGTGTGTCAGGAGGCGGGTGGCGGGATGGGTACGGGCTGAGAGGTAGAGGTTTGGGCAGATGGGTGGAGGGAAGCATGGGGAGTACACGGTTGGAGAGGAGGCCCGGCTCTCAGAGCGTCTTGGTGCTGTGGTTAACGCGGGTGGTTGGCACTGCCGGGTGAAGTCCCCCCCCCAGCTCCCACATCTGCAGCCCCATGTGAGCTGCAGGCTGTGGTGGGAGGGGTGGAGGTGTGGAGCTCTGCCTCCTGAGCACCCCGGCACCGCCGCGGTCCTCTCGTCGCGCTTGGCCCCTGCTCGGGTTGTGCCAGGGCTGCAGGAGGCTCTTGGTGCACGACTTGGGTGACAAAACTGGGGGTTGGGGAAAGCAGCGATGGGCAAAGATGCTCTTTGTGGAAGCCCATGCTCTGCCCCTGCTAGTAGCTGGTTTCCATACCCATCCTTGTTTCCAGCTGCCCAGAGTGAAAACCCAAAATGGATCTTTTGGACTACTGAGCTGGCAAGTGGAAAATGTAAAGCTCTGTAATCCACACTGACCCACTTCCAGCATTTAATCATGAATATTATATGGCAGACCCTGCAACGTTTATTTTTGTCTCTCGGGGTTTTTTCCACCCTTTGGTAGTTGGCAGTGCTGTGCTCTGCCCAGGGGGCCATCCCAGGGCAGGGACCTCATGGACACTGTCTCAATATACCCCGTGTGACTGGGAGATGCAGAGGCAGTGCCTTTGGTCATGGGGTGGGTACGAACAAGACTCTAGTGGGATGCATTCAGAGCAAATGCTTTATGTTTTCACCGGAGCTTTCTGGCTGGATTTAGTAGCCATGTGGATGAGCAAGACATCCTGGAAGAAGGTTCAGTTCAGCTGTTGCTGGGTATTGAAAGAGGGAATAGGTAGAAAACCAGCAAGACAAAAAAGCAAGAAGAAAAAAATAGCTTAAGGCAGTTTGATAGCTTAGGAAAAATTAATTTGTTTAAATTAAGAATCAAAAGGATAAATTCATCTGCAGTGAAGTGGCAACAATGTCCGTAATGGAATGAGATCACATAGCTTAATGAGCATGTAGAGTCATTTTTTGATGTACAGGCCTCACTATTGAAGCCAAAATTACACAAACAGTGCAAAAGCTAGTCCCAGTCATCTTCTCTTTCTAGGCTGTGCTGTCACCATGCCTGTACTTTGTCACAAATTGTCACACATTGTACCTGGGGGCAGTGTCAGGAGGGGCACCCCAGCATGGTCTTCTGTGTGGTCAGAGCAAGGTTTGGCATAGCTGTTGCTTGCCTCCTTTCTGATCAGTGCTTGGCTTGTCCCATCACCAAAATTTGGGGTTTTGCCATGAACGTTCTCCCAAACACCATGGACTGTGCTCACTCATAGCTCGTTTTAACCTCATTTGCTGACCCTTTCTCTTGTTTTCTTTCTGGTTTACACTGCAGGTTGGAGACTGGCCGTGAACATGTCTTGCCTATTGACTATTACTTTCCACCTCAAAAGTCTTGCCTGATCTGCGGAGATGAAGCATCTGGATGCCACTATGGAGCCCTCACTTGTGGCAGCTGCAAAGTCTTCTTCAAACGGGCAGCTGAAGGTAATGCATACAGAGAGGAGGGAAAATCACTCCCACCTCCAAGTGCTGGGTTTCTCTACCAAAGTAGCCTGAGAGCCAAATGCTACTGACACAAGTTCTCTCGGCAGCAGTCAAATCATGAAGTGCTGGAGGCATTTGCAGCATCGTGGTATGTTTTCCTCTTGTTGAAAGAGTTTACGCAGCCTTGCTTCAGGGAGCCTGCCAAACCAAGAGGGGTAGGGACAAAGTTTGGTAGATTTCTAAGGTCTCTTAAACTAGTACAGGAGAAAATGAGGAAATTCAAGGATAAATTGATTTATTTGTCCTATGTTTGTCATTCAACATTACAGATTGCTGTCAAAAAGTAGCCAAACCAGTTTGCTAAAACACAATCCTTTTCAATGCCTGATGATCTTAGCCCAGTGAGATCCTGGGGCAGTCAGTTCCTGCTTCTCCTCTTGACTCTCAAGGGTGCTTTAAGTTCCCATCAGCCCTCCTGCAATCTCAGACCCACAACTCCAATTTTAGGGGATGCTTTTCCTCTCTTGTATTCCTTTCAGAGGGTCATTTCTTTCAATACCTGCCAAATGGCAGCACCGTCTGTGCATCAAGAACCGTGCTCTGACCTTGGTGTCCATGGTCCTTCTCCCCAGCCCTTGAGAAAGCAACTTTTCCTTCATGTCCAGCTGTGTAGTGTCAGGCTTTCCAGAGATAAGTGTGAGCTCAGATGTTCCCTCTTAACAGCGAGGTCTTTGCACCATCTTTCCTTGGTATTTACCATGTAGAAGGACCTAGCCCAGCTGTTTCCTTGGGCAGTGGGTCAGCAATGTCTGTTTTTCTAACTGCAGTTAAGAGTCATGATTCCTTGGCAGCAGAATGAGTCTCTGTTGTGGAAGCCCAACTGTCCAGTAACACAATGTGCATGTAAATCACACATCGGACTTATTTTCTGGAGTGATGAACCTATAACAAATCATCATTTTTCCTCGGTGCTAGCATGGTTTATTCAGTGCACTGGCACACCATTGGCAGCTGGTGTCACAGGCCACGGCACCCCCGGGAGAGGGAGGCACCGCGGGTCCCAGCTGGCAGCCAGCGATGGGGATGGAGGCCTCTGCCTCTGGCTTGTCTTGCCGTGACCTCCTCCTCCTGTGCCTTACGTCACCCCTCTGTCGAGCAGGGGTCTCAGCTGACGGCTGCTCACCTGCCGTTGTCAGAGCACTGCTTCCAGATTCATTCTGGAATTATTCTGCGCGTTTTTTGAGTCGGGTTTTCCCTCGTTGGCCGTGCGTGCCAGGAGTGAACTTGGCAGCACTGGTTCAGGGAGGAATTGGGGCTGTGCCATAAAGAACAGCAGCATCCTGTTGCCATAATAGGACAGTCAAATAACATTAATAGATAGCAAATTTGGCATATTTTTCCCAAGTAAATAATTTACAGATATGTCTCTTTGTTATACACCAACTCTGTATAAGGCCAAAAGGATTGGCTTGTGCAGCCAGAGTAAATAACAGATGCTTGTTTAATTCAGCAAGTTATTGTTGATTTATAGTAAGTGGTGTCTTGGCTTTCTCTGTTGGATAAACTGCTGATGAGATACCCCATGTCGGCTGGTGAGTCCCGGAGTGGTGCTCCTCTGCGTACACCACAGTGGGCTCCGTCCTGTGTGGGTGTGGGTGAGCAAGGGCTGTGAGATGGCTGCTGGGGCAGAGAAGGCAGCCTGGGCTGCTTGTGCTGCTCTTAATCATATGCTGTGGTGGTGTTCCCTCTCCTGTTTGTGCTGTATCATTAATTCAAATGATATTTATGCCTCTTCTTAGTTTTTAAGCCTCAAAGTACCATAGAGGGTTAAAAGTGTTTGGTTGCTTATGATCAGCCAGCAGCAGCCCTTTGCCTTTTCCCTGGACAAGACAGTGGAGCAAAGTGCATCTGCAGTGAGGACATGCCTGAGTGTCAGTGTTTCATCTTATGTTACCTTGAGGTACATGGATAGTCTTTATTTTGGGGAATAGACAATAAATCAGACTCCTTTATCAATATTGAATGCAGGGTAGTGCTAGGTAGTGATTTCTGTCCCCGCTGTTGGTGATTTTCCAGCCAGACCTTTCCTCCTTCAAGTTGAGGAGCAATATTGAAATATGACGTTTCAGAGTGTTCTCATGTTTTTAAGTCCATAAAATGCATCTCTGAAAACCTTAGGTCACCTTTGGAGACTTTTTACAATAGTGGATCAGAAAGCTTCCCCAATGAGAAAAGCCTTTTCTTCTGCCTCTGTTACCTTCCTGGTACTGGTGTAAACCAGCAGCCTCTGTCAGGTAGAAGAAGCAATGGACTGGGGACTGAAGAGCAGCACAAACACATCACCTCGGAGGGAGTGGAGAATAGCTAGACACATAGTTTTTCTTTTATCATATTCTTTGCCTAATATAATACTGAATTTGTTTGGCAGTAATTCAGGGATATTTAAGAAGGTTTTATAGACATACACTGCCTTCTAGGGAATTAGAAAGGGGAAAGATTTAAAAAAAAACCCCAAGTTATAACATTGATTCCTCTTCCCTTTTGAAACCTGCTGAGTGATTCGTGCAGTTTCCAGTAGAGCAAATCACTCCTGCTTTGATAAAATGTTTGACAGGTGCGAGTTTTTTTTCAAGCTCAGGTCCAACCAGTTCTTCAAGAAAGATGCTGGAAGAGTTAACAGAACAGACGTGAATATTTTCCTGATCTCTTTCTGTCAGGTCTCTCGATTTATAGACTCTCTCAAGATGTACAGGTCATATATAGGCCAGCTCTAAAATGCACCCTGCAGGTTCTTTGGCTCTGATGCTGACTTCCTCACTTGCAAGATGGCCAGCCTCATTTTTGTAATCAAACATGGTGTTTGTCGCTCCCTTTCTGTCACCATGCTCTGGTGTCCAAGCTCTGAGGGATCCAGAGGGCTGGGGCTTGCTGCCCCAGTGAGAAGTGCTGCTGCTCCTCTGCAGCCAGACACTCACAGCCTGTGAAGGAGGCTTCCTCCTCCTCCTAATTCCTCTTTCTCCTGCAATAACAAAGATTTGGTAAACAAAAGGTGCACCTACCTCAGCACAGATTTTGTTTTTTCTCTACACAAGTAGGCAGGGCATCACTTCACATGGTTAGGATGGCTTGGATGAGTTAAAGACGTTAGAGTTTGGTCCTCATGATACCACACTTGTCCCTGAAACAGAAAAATGCTTCAAACATGACATGCTTCCAAATCAATTGCCAGTACAGGGGTTCCTATTGTCCCATCCCATCCAAGAAGGGAGGGTTTTTTGTGTCCCCTGCATCCATCTCTGAAAAATGGTATAACTTCCTCATCCCTCCAAGATTGCCTGAGATCTGATGGCCACCTTGGCCAGTTCAGAGCTGCCTCCATGCAGTGTTCCTGGCAGCGCCGGACTGGGATGCCTGATGGGACTGTCTCTAAATAGCAGAGAAAAAAAATAACACAGTATTTGGCAAATTTCCTAGAGGGCTAACAGCCAGACTGCTGTTCAGTCTGTTCTGGTTCCCTTTCAGTCACTCTCCATATGGATTATTGTTCTACCTCCTGGCCTGCTGAGGATTAGCCTTGCACCAGAGAAGTGTCTCTGGGCCAACTCAACAGTTTCTTGCCAGTTTTCAAGATGACAAGTTGAAGTGAACCATTTTCAAAGACCATCACCGTGTTTTAAAATGCTTTCTTCTCCTTCTTGTGGCTGATCTGACAGTATGCAAAAGAGTCAGGTCTCCAAAAGACTCCCGTGGTGCTGCAGCTGCCTGTCTCTGGTGCTGCCTGCCAGGCGGGATCACTTTTCTCTCCCCTTAGGTCCACAGAGCATCTCCCCACAGCCCGGCATGGCAGTGCTGCTCAGTGGGTGACCTGGTATGTCAGCCCCTGCCTCGCTGGGTGCTTGGGGGGTGTCAGCTCTCTGTGCTGTGCTGCTGACGGGCAGCTGCTTGCTGCTTCAGGCAGTGCTTGAGCAAGGCAGTGGATGGGCAGACATGACGTTGGTTGGAGGCTGAGGCAGTCAGTTTGACTTCAGAGAGGCTCAGGAGTTAAAACATTACAGTTCTGACTAGAGAGCTGAGCAATTAAAACATTTTTGCTTGTTGGATTTAAGCATCTTTAAAATAAAGCCTTTTCCATTTGCGTAGTCCTATAGCTGTTTACTTTTAAAGCTCATCATTTAGCCTTGGCTTGCTCCAGTCTTCTTGCTAGATTGTCTCCTGTACGGAGCTGTTACCTGCCCATGCTGTTAGTTCTCTAGCGTCTGTAACTTCCATGCTTGCGTTTCTCTGGCTAGCTAATGTTTGCACTCGCAGACCGTAATTTCTGGTTCCCTGGAGAGCTCCTCCCTTGCTCTTCCCACAGAGCCAGCCTGCCTTCCCAGCCATCGCAGGCTGCTGGTTCCTGCCCCGAGAAGGAAGATGAGGCTGGTGCTGAAGTTATTGTGTTACTGGGGCTGGATGCTTTCCTTTTGTTTTCTTTAGTCATCTGGTAAACGCAGGTGACTATTAAGAAAATTACTTTGCAAAGATAGTTTATTAATAGTGGCTTAGTGTTGGTTCCTGAGAGCTTTGGAGCTGTGCGCCCTTTGATTATTTCTAATGGGAGCATAAAGTGGGAGCTTTGGAGTGGTCACAGCACCAAACCAAAAGGCTGGGTAACAGTGATGGGGACCAGAGTTTTTACAGAAGAGCCCTAGAGATCCTGTAGTTGCATGAGACCCTGGGGGATTCGTGTTCTCAGAAAGCTTGGCCTTTTCCCCCAACTGTTAGAATGTGGTTTATGCCCTGAAATACAAGGATATAGCTCTCTTCCAAAAGGCATTTAATGGGTTTTCACATTCACAATCGTAAATCTTACTCCGGACGTTCACATAGATTACTTTCTGGAAGAGAAAGCTACCCTAGGCACAGCAACTCATGTGTCAACAGGCTTTTAGTTAAATAACTTCTCTGGATTGAGCAACTCATCTTTCTCCATATATCTTTATTTTTAGTCGAGACTGGAGAACTGCTCTTCCCCTATGCTCCTGATGTTGATTGCAGCCCCAGGTGATGAGCAGGAGGACTGGGTGGTGGCAGAATTGTCTTCCTGCCTGGCATGAGGTGGCACAGGGGGGAGCCTAAGCTGGTGGTGCTGTCCCAGGCGAGGGGGGCGGTGGGACAGCAGCGTATTCATGGTGTGTGCTGAAGGGGGAAACTGCAGCAGCCTGCAAGAGCCTCGGTTGCACAGACTGATCTCCTGGGCTTCCTGTGCTGGTCTGACATAGCGGAGGGGTGCTGAGTACCTCTGTAACTTCACTCCTCACCCACATGCCTGTCAAAGAGTATCTGGATTGGCAGGGAAGGAGAAGCATGCATCTGCCATGTTGCCAACTGCGTAATTGTATCTGAGGCTGCTGCCTTGTCAACATCCCTGTTGTAAAGACAGTCTGAGTGATGGGCTTTGCAAAGAGCAGGACCCCTGGGTAAAATAGGAGACTATATTTAAAGTTTAGACCTGTACTTACAGGTTTGCAAAGCAAAAGAGCCGCTGCTTTGGACTAACATGAGAAAGCATATCTATTGTTTACAGGAAAGAAAAGGAGAAAAAAAATCATTCCAGTGCTAAACTCAATAAAGAAAAAATCAGTGCATTTATCTTTAAATAAAGGACAGCTGATTGCAAATGTCTCAGCTTGTTCTTAAATAGAGTAAATTATGCTGAAATTGAAACCAAGTCTCTGTATATGAGAAGTTACTTGAGAGATGGAATCCGTCAGTATCCCAGCCACCCTTCCTTGTTCTCTGGGCTTTTAAGCCAGTGGCACCTTCTGCTCCATATGCTGTGCCCAGGTGATGCCACTGCTCATGGCCGTGCCAAGTAGTGCATGCTCCCTGCTTGGAGGAAAGGGTTGGTGTATGCCGGCACAGACAGAGCAGAGGAGCTGCTGTTGATGGCATATCCACCGGCAAAGCTTGGCCCGGTGGTGTGGTGGCACGTTCTGGAGGCGAGAAGCACCCCTGCCGTCGCGGTTCTCCCGTGGTCCGTGGGGCGAGCGCAGGCGGTTCAGGACGGTTGGCTTTGCCTGGGCAGTGACGCGGTGCGGTCCCTGTCCCAGGTCATGGGTTCATTTCACAAACTGTATCCGCAGCTGGGTATAGCAGTGATGAGGTCACTGGGTTTCTCCAGTAATTAAAAGGGGAAGCTCTACATCCCTAGAAATTAGGACAAGATGAGCAAGTGGTTTATTCTCATGCTGAGCAGGACCAGACTCATGAATAGCCATTGCATGACCATTTGTTTCCCTTTTTGTTAATGGCTAACAGCTTAAAATAAACAGTGCCAGACTATGCATGTACAGTTAACAGAAAATCAGTTCCTGCCCCAGATAATTTATTTTGTGAACCAGGAAGCAAGTCCTTGCTATTTCAGCACAATCCCTGTACCATGACTGTGGGGTGAGTTGTTGACTGCAACTTAAAAGCTTGCGTTCATCCAAGCTCATCGTCAGGGAGGTAAAGTTGTCATAGAGACTCTTGTAGTGTGCCTGTTTTGTGCACAGTGACCCGGGAGGGCTGGCAGGCACGGAGGCACCCTGCCTGGCCTCGGCTGCTGGGAGATCGCTCCTGTGCCCTGTCCCTTCCCAGCAGTGCCAGAGGTGGCAGATGCTGCTGCAGAGCTGATGAGAAACAGCACGGCTGCCTCATCGAGCGAGGCTTGAACCCGGTTCCCAAATCTCATCCGTCCCCCTGCTCCCCTCCCATGGGTGCCTGTGGGGACAGAGCAGGGTGGGCGATGAGTCCATGTGTCGGGATGCTGCGCAGAGCTTGGGGGAAAGAAAGGGGGGGCTGGGGCTGGTGGATGTTCCTCCTTTTGGCAGGGGAATTACGATGGAGCTGTGCCTGACCCTGGAGCGTCCTTGGGGGGGCTCAGTCAGTGACTGTGCTGCCTTCCCGTATTAAAGCCGTTCACAGGGAAGGCTTGACCTTTTTAATGATCTATTTTTGTTGCAAAAATGCTGTAGTTTAGACTAGGGAGGCGAGATAGGGAAAGAGCAGGAGCCGAGGTGTGAGGAGAGAGCTGGAGGCAGCACTGTTCATGGCAGCCTGACATCCTCGGCCAGAGGCTGAGTTGGCCCCGTGAGCTTTCCCGGTAGGCCCAACCCCAGCCATTTTATACTCGCGGTAGTTTTGATGAGCTCTGGAGCATCACAGTGTCAGACGTTGTCACCAGACAGGAATCCTGCAGTGCAACTGAAGGGGAAGGAGAGCAAAATCACCTAACAGCTCTGTACGCCTTTGCCTGAGAAGGTAGGGCATCCATTCTTGTTTGATGTATGCACATAAAGAGGTTGAGTGGAGAGAGTATGGCCTCGGCACTTGTTTCCCATAGCACAAAGTTTCCCATAGCACAAAAATAACTCGAAGTAACCCAGTTTCAGCTGAAGTTGTTTATTACTCAGTCTCCACCGTGAACTGTTGAAAAGGGAGGATGGTGCTTGTGTTCCCTGGGATTTGGCATAATCGCTGCTTCTGAGGCTTGCCTAAGCGTCCTTAACAGTGGTAATGAGCAAGAGGAGTGGGGTGAGAAGAGGTGCTGATGAGAATGGTGTTAAAAGGATTTAGCAAGGTATCACACGCTGCAGGTAATGCATTCTTGCCCCATTATGTCTCCAGTCTTAACAGCTGAGGCAGTGGGGATGGTGTAATGATCAGCTTTTAATGAGGACGATTCTCAGAAGTTCAAACGTACGGTATTTTTGCAGCCCTTTGGTGTAGCCCCGCACGGATGCAGCATGAAGAGGAGTTGCTTATACGCTCAGCCCTGTCATGACTTTCCCGTGCCCCTGCGATGGGAGGCTGCAGGAGGGGTTTTGCAGCCGGCAGCGGCCGTGCCAGCGAAGCTGCAGCCGTGCAGTGCTGGCAGCTGGCGCCGGGGCGGGGGGGGGGGGCGATGGGACCTTCGCTTGGTCTCCTCCCGCCCAAGGGCGCAGAAACAAAGCTGCTCGCTGGAGCTGGGAGGGCGGTGGGGAAGCACCAGACGGTGCCAGTGAGGTCTGTGATACTGGGTTGATAAAAGTTGGCCGCTTCTTCCGATTCTGGTATCTTCAGAAGTTGTGGATGTGCATGTGGGAGGTGGGGAGTTGTTAAATGAGTGTGCCAAAATCGGTGCATCTCTTGTCAAAACTGGTACATTAAGCGGTTACATTCAGCCTCCTCCTGTTAATGGATCTCTGATGACTCCAAAGGGCTTTTCCTGTAAGAATATAGAAAGCACACACTTGCAGGATGATAAATAAAAGTTAAGCTGGATATAGGCTGATTTCCCATGTAGGCTACTTATGCAGAGTCTGAGGTGCACAGCTCTATTATTTACTGAGACTGGTTTAGTTTGGAATGGTATGAAGAACATCAGATAAATCCTGATCCAGTAAATGTGTTTAGACTTGAGAAGAAAACAAACGATGAGTCAGGAAGGAAAGTTCATTCTTGGCGTGTCTAGCAAATGAGGCAGTAAAAAGAAAAGAGCTGAAATCTGGACCTCTAAGGGCTGCTCTCTAAACAAGTGGGTAGGTGAGTCTAGGATATCAGTTAGTCTGACAAGAAGTAGCTTCTGAATTTTTTGCAAGCCCCCTTAAACCCGCTGCTGCACAGGGTCTTCCTTACAGGGAACCACTGGTCCCAGTTTCCTTCTGTCTGGCTGCGAGTACATCCAGGTGACAGGGGGACTGGTGCCAGCCTGGCATGGGACCCACCGCGGGAGAGCCTCACATGCAGTCAGTGCCCCAACCCCAGAGTCTGTAATCTGCAGACAACAAACCCCATTAGTATTAATGAGTGGCAAAAAAAAAAAAAAAAAACAAAAAACAATTTAGCCACAAAAAGAGTGTAAAGAGAGTCATGGTTGTAGATGGAAGGCCACTGTCTGGGAACTATATTCAACAAACTGTGGGTAAGTAGCATGGCAGGAGGATCAAACTGTGTTTTGAAGGTGCTCTGGGAGAAGAGCAGCTCATCACAGCAAAAAGCCAAGGAATATATGCATGACATTTCAAAAATGAAAACCTAACTGTCCGTATTTCATTACTTTTTAAATGCTGTTTATTGACTGCTGCTGTGCTGCATGCTGCACAGTGATTTTTCTCCTGGGAGATGGTGATCTAAGAGACTCTGCAGGGTGGACAGGCAGAGGACGCGTGCTGAAGGGTGGCGAAACAGCACTGCCCGCATCTGCATTCCGGGTAGCCAGCTCTCATACAAAGTGTGTGTATCTGGTGATGAACCACTCTTGTAGCAGCAGAGGAAGAACTGTGCTATTTTCCCAAAAGATCCTAACTTCCAACGTAAATTTTCTGCTGAGGTGAACTGGGTAACCAGCACTGATATGGTTCCCTTTCTCTTCTCTCGTCCTTTCTCTCGTCCTTTCTCTCGTCCTTTCTCTCGTCCTTTCTCTCGTCCTTTCTCTCGTCCTTTCTCTCGTCCTTTCTCTCGTCCTTTCTCTCGTCCTTTCTCTCGTCCTTTCTCTCGTCCTTTCTCTCGTCCTTTCTCTCGTCCTTTCTCTCGTCCTTTCTCTCGTCCTTTCTCTCGTCCTTTCTCTCGTCCTTTCTCTCGTCCTTTCTCTCGTCCTTTCTCTCGTCCTTTCTCTCGTCCTTTCTCTCGTCCTTTCTCTCGTCCTTTCTCTCGTCCTTTCTCTCGTCCTTTCTCTCGTCCTTTCTCTCGTCCTTTCTCTCGTCCTTTCTCTCGTCCTTTCTCTCGTCCTTTCTCTCGTCCTTTCTCTCGTCCTTTCTCTCGTCCTTTCCTTTCTCTCTCCCTCCTTCCCCTCTTCCTCCCTCTCTTGATGCCAGTGACCCTGGTGATGCAGAGAAAGTGTGAGTCCATCTCTCATTGTAAACCTGGTCTGATTGGTACCCACCACCTATCTGCCGTTTCCTCTGATGTTTGTAGGTAAACAGAAATACCTCTGTGCCAGCCGGAATGACTGCACCATCGACAAGTACAGAAGGAAAAACTGCCCATCCTGCCGCCTGCGGAAGTGCTATGAAGCTGGGATGACTCTCGGAGGTACTGTCTGAATAACATCCCCTGGGTCCTTGTGATGGGCTGGGGCAGCCAGGCTAATCCTGCAGATAATGAATGTACTTGGCATATTAATAGTCAGTAAATAGCTGAAAAAATGAGGCTGATGGAGCGTAATGAGCTTTGGGAAACATTTGCAAGTTTTTAATACCAAAACTGTGAATTTCATTAAACTTTTGTTTGAGTTTCAGGAAACATGCTTTTCCTTAATTTAAAACCTTGTTGATTAGAAAAAATGTAAACAAACAGGTAAGCTGGATTCTCTCACACCAAAGCCTCTTTGAACAGGGCACTCCCATTTTAAGATGATTTTTCCCAGGCAGAAAGGGGCATTTTTCTTTATAAAATTACATCCCCAGTATTTTTCTTCATTGAATGGAAGTTGCTCCTGTATCATTGGTAAAGCTCCTTGTTACAGTTTGTCTCTGTTCCAAAACCTGTAGCTCTACCAAAACCTGACAGTGTGCCCATATCCAAAATCTGAGGTTTTCTGCTCAAAATCTAGAAGCTACAATGTAGATCGCTGAATGGCTTATCTTTGAGTTCACTTGATGTGAGAGTGAGGAAGAAAATACCCTGAAAAACAGGGCTGATGGGACTGACCCATGATGAAAAGGCCCCTGACGACAAAGCGAGGGAAATCATGGGTGATACAGAAAGGAAAGCCACTGGCAGTGTCAGGCACAGTGCAGAGGGAAGTGGGGGAGCCCTGGCTAGTTAGATGTGCCAACGTTGTAGTTCAAATACTTCCACCATTGATGAGATGGGCAGTGACTTCTGGAGCTGGTGGACTGCTGGAACGTTGTCTTGAAGAACTTGCTACCAAAATGGTTCTGGTTTATTGCTCATCACAGAATCACAGAATGGTTTGGGTTGGAAGGGACCTTAAAGCCCATCTAGTCCCAGCCCCCCTGCCCCGGGCAGGGCCCCCTTCCCCCAGCCCAGGGTGCTCCCAGCCCCGTCCAACCTGGCCTTGAACCCTTCCAGGGAGGGGGCAGCCACAGCTGCTCTGGGCATCCTGGGCCAGTGTCTCACCACCCTCACAGAGAAGAATTTCTTCCTTATATTTAACCTAAATCTACCCTCTTTCAGTTTAAAATTGTTACCCCTCATCTTGTCCCTACACTTCCTGATAAAGAGTCCCTCATCGAGGAGCAGTGGTGTTAAATTTACTTCTCCCCTGAACAGTTCTTCCAGCTCAGGTACCAACAAACATGTTCAGTCGGCAGGGCTGGAGCCAGCCTGTCCCCTCTGCTTCTGCAGCAGTGGGTGGTAAATCTGAGCGGTGGGGACACAGCCTTTGGCGGGGGAGTGATGCAGAGATGTGCAGCTCTCTCCTTTCCTCCTGGTAGTAAGCGCAAAAAACAAACATCCCAAAAGGTAATGCAGTCCTAAAGCCTCACGACATCAACCCCAAGCGCTGGCTCTGACCACTCTTCACTCACGCCCGGTGAGCTGTCAGCGAACGGCGGGGGTGCTGCTGCTGCAGCACTATGGGAGCCGTGGGCATGGGCGCACGCAAAAGCACACTGGCATTTCGGAGCTCCAGGGGGGTCCCCGATCCACCTGCAGTGACCAAGCAGACGGTTTGCTTGCTGAAGTTGCCAGGTGGCTCTCTTCATCTCAGTCCTTGGTATCTGCTTCCCTGGTTCTGCCCCCAGCCCCGGTCATCCAGCCCAGCTGGGAGGATGCAAGGGCAGAGGAGCCTGTCCCGGAGCCGTGCCTGTTCACACGCCTTCTTGCAGGAGTTCCCAGTGACAGTCATTTTTATGGCCGGTGGTGGCCATTCATAGCCATGGCTTCCCCGGGGAAGCAGGGAGGCTGCTGAGAGCCTTCCCTTGTCTGCCTGGGAAGATCAGGACCGGGACGCTGCCACCACCCTGCCCGTGGGATTGCTGGGCTTCCCGAGCCCTGGGAGGGGGGTGAGCAGCCTAACCAGCAACCTGGTCCGCAGCCAGCAGAAGGGCTTTGTAATGCCATCCAAAACAATCATGTTCTTATTTTTAAGTGTTTTTTTCTGGTGAAATTTCCTTAAGTAAGAGAAGACATACATCAGTGTAACCTTCTTCTGCAGGACACACTGACAAAATTAATGCTAATACTGATAGCCCCCCCTCCCTTTTTTTTTCTTAAGCTCTTTGGGTCACTCTGACCTGTTCTGCCTGGTCTGTTTTACATTTGTTTTCAATGTCAGTTTAAAGGCAATTGTTAAAAACATGCATGCTATGAGTTTGTCCACAGTAATTTCTCCCACAGTTGAGAGGCAGAGCATTTGAAAAGGCTTCCAAGCTCCAAACAGTTGTTTTTAACTGCCTGTTAATTACCAGTCACTTGTAGTGTATAATTGAGTTGCTTGTGACCAGCAGACCTGCAGTTTTCAGTATGTTTAATGGAAGGAGGAGGTGACACACTGATACCTTATTTAGAACTCTCTGCTTTGGCACAGAATGGCAGTATGTCGAAGCACTTCATTATTGATTGAGATCAGTCTGACCTGCAAGCTGAAATCCATTAAACAGAATCTTCTCTCCTGATCAACACTGTAAAGCCAAAGGGGGGGGGGGGGGGGGGGGAAGTGATAATGTCAGTTTTGCGTGCTGGGTTCTGCTGGTGCAGTGTCCTGCCTCTCCCACCAGGGATCTCGCCAGCCCCCCCTGCACACTGGGGCACCTGGACCCCTCTGTCCTGCTGCAGAGCTCCGGATTTAAGGCATCTCCTGTTCATTTGCTGCCAACACATTTTAATTGCAACGTGAGGTCCCGTAGTCTGTTCCCGTTGTGAGAACCAAGCGCCTTGGCCGGAGCTGGCAGCCCACCTGTGCTGCAGGATGGTGGCTGGGCACCTTCAGCCTCATGGCTGCACTCCATGTGGGTCCTGGCCTGGGGCAAAATCTCCCAGACATCTAAAATACAGTATATTTCACTGGTGGTAGGGCTAGAAAACTACTGTAGTAACTACCAATATCCTGTGAAAGCCCAAAGCATGAGGCATACCTGTGTTTAGTTCTAATTCAGGTCCAGTTGCTCTGGTTAAAATAGAGCTTGTGTCTTACACAAGTGTTTGATATTGATGTAAGCATTGCCAGCAATGAAGAATCTAACACATTTTTTGCCACACAGTTGCAGTAGTTAATTACGTTCAATGTTCTGATAGATGCACCTTATTTTTCATCTTGTTTGTCTGTGGTTTCCAGCAACTGGGTCTTTATTATGGCTTTGCTTGCTAGATTGAAAAATCTGCTTTTATTGAATTTCCGTCCCTACTGTGGGTATTTGTTGTCTGTAACTTAATAACCCTTTAGCCTTCTGCATAGCTACCTAAGTAAAATTCTTTACTTACTTCCTCCAAGGTATGTTGTCTAGTCTTTACTATTCTTATGGCTTCTGCAGCTTGCCAACACCTCCCTCGTATGGTGAACATCTCTAATCATAGTTTCCCAGTGCCAGCAACATCAGTGATGGCTGATGGTAAGATGCTCTGCAGGTTAATGTTTTCCTCCTCCATGTGGCACAGGATCCGGTTAGTCCTGGATCCACTGAACCATCCTGCCAGCTCAGGCCTTTGTGTTTGTCCATCGGCTTTTGGTGCAAGTTCAGGCTGCCAAGGATGGAGTTTGACATTCATTGTCTGTGGCTCACTTTTTCTGTTGCTTGATACCACAGAATCCCAGACTGGTTTGGGTTGGAAGGGACCTCAAAGCCCATCCAGTCCCAGCCCCCCTGCCCCGGGCGGGGCCCCCTTCCCCCAGCCCAGGGGGCTCCCAGCCCCGTCCAACCTGGCCTGGAACCCTTCCAGGGAGGGGGCAGCCACAGCTGCTCTGGGCACCCTGGGCCAGCGCCTCACCCCCCGCACAGGGAACAATTTCTGCCTTATATCTAATGTAAATCTCCCCTCTGTCAGTTTCAGGCTATCCCTACGCTTCCTGATAGAGTCCTTCCCCAGCTTTCCTGTAGGCCCCTTTCAGTACTGGAAGACATTTCTAATTACAGTGAAATGTACTTTGTTTTAATAGACTGTGCTTATCAGCAGACCTTTATCAATCTGTTCAATGATCAGTCCTGAATATTTGTTACTGTTTTCCCATCTATGCATTGCCATACAGACTTTTTAATGAAAACAGTTCGTTTTCTTTTTGGAATGAATGTAGACGCTCACTAGTAAAGGGCCATGAACAAACTCGTAAGAAACAAAGCTGTGTGATGTTGTGTCAATGTTTACAATTACTTTTGAGATGTGTTGCCTGGGTGATTTGAAATCATTTAGCAATACTGTCTGATTTGATATTGTTTAAGTTTTTTAGTTCAGTAGGCCAGACTGACTCAGATCTCTTAAACATGTCTGCTATACCAGTACTGTTATAATTATCAACTAAAATTATCATGTCAGAAAAGATTGATAGCTTGACAGGATCTGGTTTTGACAAGCCACATACTGATGTTAATAAAAAATTTAAAGAACAAGATATAAGTCAAGTCCCGTTTCAACTTCTCTGACATTTTGCCTGCAGCTGAAATCAGCATGCAGTGCCTGGAGCTAGCAGGATTTCTCTTTCACTGCTAGTGCAAAAGCAGTTTTCTTCCAGGTCCCCAGAACTTCCCCAAGTCCCAGCACGCATGAAAAATCTGTGCTGGAGCCCAGAGCGTTCCTCCACCAGCTTTGGGGATGCCTGGCAAGAGGGTTGGTGGGTTAATTTGCTTCAAATGTATGTGACTTCCATAATCACTGCAATGTGCTCCCGAGGGATTCTTGCACTGGTGAATATTTTATCGTGATTACAAATAATTATGTCCTCTAAGCTTTCTTTCAAATGCATCTGATACTTTCTCTGTTAACCCCGAGCCACCCTGCTGAGGCGCTGTGGGTGTGACACAGGGGTGGTGGCATTTCGAGGTTTCCAGAGCGTTGCTGTCCCTGCTGCCAGATGAGCTGGGAAACCGCCTGATTTCAGTCACACATGCTGGGGTTCGTCCCACCTTAGTCTGGAGAAGTACAGTGTAGACTTCTGCCTAGCTTAGCTCATCCTAGAAAAAAAAGTGTAATAGATGTCTGTAGCTTCTATTTTTTTAAAAAATTTCCCTTTTTCTTCCCAGTAGCCACTGAGTAGGAGCTACCACCAAAAAGGGCGTTTGCACAAGTGACTGAATGTAAGCTACTCATTACCTCTGAAGCGTTTCTCCACCTAGTAACATCAGTATTTCAGTGATCTGTGGAACAACTGCTCCTGGAAAACACAGATGTAAGGCTCCTCTGGTCAGAGCAGTTATCATCCACCCTCACTGCTCTCCAACAAGGAGGGGTTTGGTTTATGGCTCTTGAAGTCAGCATGGTTGCTTGCTAGCTCTCTTTTTAATTCAGTCAATATCTTTTAGTGCTAGATAATTCAATTTTGAGGAAAAAAAATCTAACATTTAAACCAAACGTGTGGGTTTTATACAGTGTGGATTTGGCTCTAGTTACGCACAGGAACTGATGGGAACTTTGAAAGATACAGTTCAGTTTTTATTTCTTCTTTTAAGCCGGGGAGCTTTTCTTTCCTCGCAGTATGCCCCTTTAAAGGCCCAGTGCCCAGCATCACCATGGGACGTGGCTTCTGCCCCAGGTGGAGTCCGCTCTGGTGCCTCCTCCCCAAAATAATGTGAGGTTGTTTGGAAATGCAGGACCAGCGTTTTGCACTCCTCTCCTTCCATGCTGCTTGTCGAGAGCAAAACCCGAGTGCAGCTTCCAGGGAGAGCGGTGCTGTACCTGTGCCCAGGGATCGGCTCCCTGGGGGCGAGAGCCTGGTGCTGCCTGCGCTTCTGGAAGGGCGGGAGAGGGGCTCGATGCTCCAGCTGGCCTGCCCCCCGAGCAGACGAGGGCTGAAGGATGTCACACTGCACCACAGCCCTGTTTTCCTCTTGGTCTCTTTTATTTTTATTACTCTTTTCTCCTCCTTTTTTACAGAGCAGCCTGTCTTAATTGCTCATACAATAGATCATCCAAAGTCCATTACTTAAAGATCAACATTTTGAATTGATTTACAAAGCTGCACTTTAACTTGACATTTTTATGTTTCACTGTTTATTTTTCTAATTACAGCTGAAAGGAGATTTGAGATAAGTATCATGTAATGAAGGAACCAAAACCCCAAGGACAATTGGTTTGATGTTATATTCTCTGCTTGAATTAAACTATCGGCTTTTTTCCTCTAATTAGTTAGGGTTTTTTGGAGTTGGTAAGGGGTGAAAGCTGATCCAATCTGCAGTAGCCTACCAACCCGTGTTGTTCTGAACACCATAATGTAGATATCAAAGTAGGTGAACGCTGACTCCAAGAATTTTGAATTCATGCATTTGAAGCTCCTAGTGTGTCTTGCTAACAGACTAGCATCTGTAATTAAGAGCCGGGTGCACAGGAGAGACACTTTGTCACGGTGACATGGACACAGGCGTTGGCTACCTGCAGTCCCAGCCCCACAAGCCCACTCTGCTGAGGTTGCTCTTAAAACTGGCCAGCAGACCAAGGCCACCCCTGATCAAGTCTTCTCGTTGATGGACTAGCTGGGGACACTCCAGGGAAACAGCCATGGGACCACCTGATAGCTTTTAAAAATGTGTTTTCCATAATATGTTTGTAGAGTAGCAACCTGGCTGGGCGAACTTGGTTGTGGGGCAGGAGGCCCTGCAGGAGCCCTGGGCAGGGAGAAGGCTTTTATCTTGGTTGCATCCCGCTTCGACTCTGGCCCAGGATGGAACAATCTGACTTGAGTATCCAAGTGCAATGGCTTTTTTTCCTGGAATGTGATCATCTAATGCGTTTATTTTTTTTGCGTTGCTTCCCTTTTTAATTGCGTTTGAGTAGTTGTTCGAACAGTCACCTCTTCTCTCTTTTCCCCAGTCCTTCTTCTCCATTTCTAAGTGGGAATTAACGTGAGACCGGTTACAGCTGAGGATGTAAATGGTGCTTGTTCTTTTCCATATAAGATGAGCAAATGGATTTCCTTTTGCAGTGTGTGCTCCCTTTTGTCCTTACATGAGGTTCGCGATGCTGGGGCACTTGTTGGGCAGTGTGTGCTGAAGTAGCTGCTGCTGGTCATCAGTTTTCCTTTGCTCATAAGTGGTGGGACTGGAGGCCAAGAAACCTCAAGCCTTTTTTTTTTTTATTTTTAATCATCACACTAAAATATGTCATTTCCACAGCTCGCAAACTGAAGAAACTGGGTAACCTGAAGACGCAAGATGACGCAGAGGTAGCTAGCTCATCCAGCCCCACAGAGGAGCAAGCTCCCAAGATGGTGATGACACGCATTGATGGGTATGAGTGCCAGCCCATCTTCCTCAATGTCCTGGAGGCCATTGAGCCCGGCGTGGTGTGTGCCGGCCACGACAACAGCCAGCCAGATTCCTTCTCTAACCTGCTGACCAGCCTGAATGAGCTTGGAGAGAGGCAGCTGGTCTACGTGGTCAAATGGGCAAAAGCCTTGCCAGGTGAGGAAGAAAACAGACAAATCCCATCCCTTCCCTGTCACATTCCTAAAGCCCCCCTGCTTGCATCGCCTGCGGTTGGTTCAAAGGAGGCGGTCTGCAGCCTGTGTCCCACCATCACACGGTTCCTTGGGGGAGCATCTTCATGGGGCACCTGTCTGTGTAATATCTCCATAAAGCAGGCTGCAGGAGCATTGGGGTTGTCTCCTTTGGGTGGCTGGTTGATGGGAGAGGTGACGCGGGGGTGACAAAGTATGTAGAAACTTGTGCTTTTGGGTCTGTCCCTGCTGATAACCCCCAGCACACAGTATTGTGTAGGCAAGCGTCTGCTTCCCTGCACGAGAAGGGCTGTTGCTGGTCAGGGGTTCAGGGTCTTGCTCTCTTCCCACTCTCCCAGCGGGGGTTTTGCTCTGCTTGCAGAGCTGTGTCCACCAGGCCTGCAGAATTCGTTCTAAATAAGTATTAGCCCTGTCTTGAAACCCACATGAAGTGGTGAAAGGGTAAATTCCCCAGGTGAATCAGAAGCATGCCACTTAGTGATGTGAAAGTGAGATGGGGAAAGCTAGGCTGAAAGGAGCTGAGGCTTGAGAGAAGGGAGAGATCCTTTCTTGCCATTTTTTTATTTCACAAGCCAATTAATTGTAAAATAGCAGAAGAGAGATACAAAATCTCAAAGGACTTCTTCCTGGCAGTTAGGTTGCTCTTGTGTGGCAGGCTGCTAGAATGTATTTATGATGCATTCAGAGTCATGGTGTGGGAGTACATTAGGGTTGGAAAGTTTCCAAATGGTAATAGTTGTCAGGTGCTGTAAATGAAAGCACCTGATATATCCTGGTGATATATGTGTTTCATTGAATATGCTCCTTGATTCTGAGCACAGAGGTTACCAGTCTGTAACACACTGCCTGTTGCCTATCGTAATCCTGCCAACTGAATGAGTGAAATTACAGAAGACTGAGATCACTCTGGGTGCAGCAGGGTCCAGTTCACCTTCCAGCATCCCTGAGACTGCGGTGTGGGGGCAATACCAAGCTGCCTTCCTCACCCCGTCCCTGATCCTTGGGAAACGCCACAGAAAAGAGCGATCCTACTCTTTGTGTGTGGGGTGATATCACCAAAGGAGGGAACTGAGGCAAAATAAATTTGCCACTGTATGCCAAAACCTGGTGATGAACTGTAGTCAGTTGTTTGATGTTCCCAGAAATTTAGCAGTCCATCTGCAAGAAGATTGACCAGTGGTCCAGGAGGAAGGTTCATCTGAATATGCTTAAATGCAGAGTAGCCCTTTCTGTTTCTTCTCTTCTCGAGTCAGGAAAGGTTCACCTAGCTTGTGAAACCAGGGACAAACCATACTTTCTCTTCCAGCTTATCTGCATCAGACATCAAGATTTCTTGAGAAAAGTACACGGAGACACCATCAAACCAGACCAGCAATCCGGGGGCCGATGTTGTAAAACTGCGGTAGTGCTAATGGAAAGGGAGAGTGCTTTGAAAAACATTTTTTATCGTAACCACGCCCTTATCAAAGGCTTTTACTCCCCTGTCCTGCACCCAGTTGCTGACCCCATGGTGGCTGCTGCACCGCTGTGCCAGCGACGGCTCCTGGGCAAAACTAATTCTAATCTTCTTCCATCTGAGCAGTCACTGGTCTCTGGGGAGTTGCAGTATAACCGCACCCCCTCCTCAGGGCAGGGGATCCCTCGCGGAGCCCAGATCTCCTGCGTGGGTGTGCTGTGGGGGGATGCTGCCTTCCCTATCCTGCTGGCATGGGGCTGGTGCTGGCCTGACCGGTAGCATCACTGTGCCTGGAGAGAGAGGCCAAACCAATTTGTTTTCCCCAGTTTTCTCCAGCGGTTCCCTGACATGCGCCAATGCTGGAGTTCAACACCAGTAGCCACAAATTCACCACTTAGTCATTCTCCTGTTATTTTTTCCAGGGAAGGAATAAAACACTGCAGGACTGGTGCTGCTGTGGTCCAGGTGCTGCAGCGAGGTGGGGGCCCATCCACCGCTGGGCTCTGCCTGCTCTGCTGCTCCCCCGGGAGCCGGGCAGAGGCAGGCACCGCGGCCACCTCACTTTTTGGGTAAACTTGCAGAATTCTACCCCATAGCCAGAGGTAGTTTGCTATCTATAATTTATTTAAATTATTTTTTGGTTAATAAAGCAGAAGTGTTTTCATTTCCTGGCTCTGCAGGTTGGCAAGGCAGCTCAGGAGAGGGGCGATGTAGGCGAATGCATGCAGGGGGACAAGTAATGGAAACAAACCCCCAGCAATTTAAAACAGCAGGATGCAGTTGTTTTTATCGAAACAGAAAGATCTGAACATGGTCTGTTGGGAGACTGGGGGCTGTTTAATGAGTGCTGTTGCTGGCGAGGTGCGGTGGGAGCAGACTGGAGGGCTTGACGGGCCGTGGCCGCACGGCAGCAGAGCCTTCCTCCGCCGAGGAGGAGCAGAGCCCGAGGCTGAGCATCCCTGCGGGTGTTAGGTGCCGAGCAGGCAGACCAGGCTCTGTCCCCCAGCTGCCTGCTGGAACTGCTGTGTGGTCCACACGAGGTGCACAGCAAGGCTGGAAGTGTTATCCCTCTCCCGCTTTCCCCATTAACGAAGCACATTGGCACAAGCACTGGCCGAGCTAAGCGCAAGCAGCCCTGCAGGTCAGTTAAGATATATATCAATGTAAAGGGGAAAAGGTTTTACTGTCCAATGACTGCTGCTGGTGGGAGGAGGGGGAACTTGCACCTGTAATAGAGGTAGCCTCAGCCTGTTCATACTGGCAATAGATTAATATTGGTTAATAGGCAATTATTAACCTTGCATCATGCATTAAACATCACCTGTAAGAGTGATTAATAAGTAGCAAGCATTGCTGCTCTTCTTCCAGTGAGGTTTCAGTGATATCCTAGAAACAAGACTGCATCATCAGGTATGAGCATTTCTGAATCCTGCTTGCCTGCAGTAGCAATACCAGCCTCTGTCTAGTGGTGAAAATGTAATGTATGGCCCTTTAGAAATTTTGCAATTGAAATTCTGTATACGAAAAGGTAGAATCAAACTGTGGTTTCCCTGGAAAAGGAAGATTAAATCACCACAGCTTGCCAAGAAAGCTGCTGAAACACAGAATTAAAAAATCTGATTAAATCCATAAAATCTGTCCACTTCAGGGTAAGTGGAAGGAGTATGTATTTTCCCTTTTCCATATACATAAATTCAGTAAAGGTGTTACAGTTAATTTAGATCAGCACTCAAACACGTTAGTTTAAAGATAATTTTCTCTGACACCAAATGAAAAGTCTTCAGTTCATTCCTGAAGCTTTTAGGAAATCAGTCTATAAAAAATAACGGGACTGTGAGTGTAGGGGGAAGGGCTGCTTCACCGCAGAGCAGTGGCGAGGCATGGGCAGGCTGCGGCTCTGCTGCCAGCAAGGCAGATGAACACCCTTTGTGTTTTTAGCAACTCAGTGTCCATGTGATCAGGTCAAATGCTCCACCTGGTATCATGGGAGATGGACCTATTTATTAGAGCTATTGCAAAATCCCTGTGTACTTGCCCTTAAGTTAGGGTTTGTTCCAGGCCATTGCTTGCTTGCTTGTTTTTCTGTTTCAAATATACTGCTTTATGATATATCTAACTCACCCTTTGACTGTAAGGATACAATTAATGGTGCATCTTTTTCCATTCCCTGGACAATAAAATTTCCAGATATAAAATAAATATTTGTTTATATTAGAATTGCTACTTTATGGTTGCATGTGAGGTGTTCTGTTGCTGATCTCTTAGGAAGATACCATTCTGGCACAGCAGTTCATCAAGAGAGAAGATAAAGAATTTATTTCCAAACTATACTGCTTTAAGATCAATCACGAGAAAAATGTTACGCATTAATCTTTTTCAAGTCATCAGTAAATTTAATTTTACTTTTGCTATGATTTCCTTTTGTAGAAGGTATCTTCATTTGAGTCTCTTCAAACAATACCAATACTAAAAATTTAACAATATATTGTGGCATTAGGTTTGTATTTCTTTTATTTTACAGTGATTGTGGCCATGCATCATCTAAGATGCCTGGAGTGGGAAGGTTTCCAGGAAATGATAGGTATCTGGTTTCTGAAAATCAATTTTTTTTCAAGGCATTTCAGCTTGGAAACTGGAAGCAGTGATTCGATCCTTTTAGAAAAGCCAGCCACTGTGTTTCTAGAACTTTTTGTGGACAAGCAGAAAGCAAACATTAAGTCCTGTAACAGCAAAACTGTTGCATTCAAATACCTTTCCTTAAACACTGATAAACCTTGTGCAAATATTATTTTTTTAGGGAACATAATTACAGGGTAATGAATAAGTGCACCAAACCCCTTCTCATAGCAAAGATTAGATGCAACAAACACTTTCAGAAATGCACTGAAAAGCTGATGCTGGGTGGTTAAGGGAAGGGCAGTCCCAGAGGAGAATGGGCGGCCTTGGCGCTGGTTTGTGGGGTACGGGCTCTGGTTTGTGGGGGTACAGGCAGTGCTTGGAGCATCGCAGTGGGGTGTGGAGCATGAGGAGGTGCTGCCATAGATGTTGGTGCTTCCAAGGGCTTCATCCTATTGATACTGAGCCCAGCAAAAGGGGGGTGAATCACTTGTGAGAATTAGGGTTATATTTCACAGCGTTCACTGCTCATGGGTATGTTTTCTGTCTCCAAGCCACTTACAGGATATGGGTTTTCCTCTTCAGTGGTGGGATATCTGGGCCTCACTCCCAGGATATAGGCACGAGGGAAGCCAAATGTCAGAGACCTCCGGTTTGCTTTCTTCCTCCCTCACCTCATCCTCTCCATCATGCCTTGGCCTGCAGTTCATTTCTGGCCCTAAAACACCTCCTGGGCTCAACTTCTCATTGGGAAATTCTTGCATCTCTTCTGAAGACAAAGCATTTGCTCTCATAAATATGTTTGTATTCACAGGATTTTCTTGTCTGCGTGGTTAAGAGTGTCTTTCCAGGGGACCTCCTTTGCTCGAGCATGGTGGGGTGTGCATCCTTGCCGTCCTGGCAGGAGGGCTCTGCTGAGCTTTCTCCAGAGCTTCCTTCAAACTACAGAAGTAGTTTTGGCCGTCAGTCTTCCGTTTGATCTGGTCTTTTGTGTTTGCTATGTTTTTTAATAGAGCTTCATCTGCTAATTCCCACAGAGGACAAGATACATTTTTTTCCTTCAAAAAGCAATTTAAGTAAGGGGAAAAAAACCAACTTTATGGGTTTGGGGGGGGGGGGGGTGTGTGTGGATGAGTGTGTAGCAGACAGACGAAATGTTCCTCCTCATCACTTGGTGCCAGTGTGGGAGTGTTCCCTGCACCATCTCGTTGGCAACTCACTGCAAAGTTTCAACTGCAGGGTTCAGCAGCATGGCTCCTCTTCAAGTAACTCCACTTTTTCCAATCTTTTCAGAAAGTCTAGGCCAGCAAAGAGAACAGTAGCAAGTATGGAACAGGAAGAAATTCAAGGAAGAAGTCACTGTGAATGACTTAGGTTTTTCTAGATGGTGAATTAATCTGTGACCAAATTTACTGAATAGAAAGTTATTTTATAGCATGCAGTACTGTAATTAAATATGAAAATCTAACTTAGACATGTCCTAGAGAGGAGTATGACTGATTTTATTACATCTTTGAGTTGCCTTGTCTGTACTTGTGTGCAGTTAAGAAGTTTCACTCTGGCTGCAAGAAGGTTCATGTTCAGCTGAGAGCTCAGAGCCCTCCAGATGGAAATCACTGGTTCAGGTTCAGTATGACACTGCTTGTGCGCAAGCTTTGGATTCTTAATCCGGTGATATGCAAGCTGAAAGGACAATGTACAAATGTGAAGCAAGTTTAGTCAGCAATAAAACATGGCTTGTGCTCATTTGCAGTTGACAGCTTCTCAGGCAAGAGACACATGCTTGCCTCAATGGATTATAATTATACACTGGAGATGTTAGAATCGCTTTAATATTTTAATGAAATAACATATGATTTTCTTGAAACCAGGTTACGTTTGACTACTTACAAGTGTATGGAAAAAAGTATAGTGTTGGAAGTGATGTTTTTGCGTGTGTTGTAAACTTGCCTGGGATTTAACTGTGAACCACCATCTGGGAGTATTAATTTGAATGTAATTGATATTTTTGTTTAGCTTGTGATTCAGCAGAGGTTTTCACATTAATTTTTGTAGTCATTAGATTAATGCATTGCATATTTAACACAGAAACCGGAGCATTCTTTTAACTGCGTGTTGAGGCCTTGGGGTTACTTGCTGGTTCTGAGCATTATACATTAAAATCCATTTACTTAAATTTGGTGAAGTCCTAATGGGTTGAAAAGGAAAGAAGTTTTTTGGCTTATTTCCTTGAGTGCCAGAATTACACCAAAGGAGGTAGTTGGTTAATGAGAGCTTGTTTCTGTCTCAGTGTCTGGAGAATGTTATCTGATTAATTGTATTGCTGCTGGGCTCCTTCTTCCCTTCAGCAGATTTATTTCTGTTAGCAAAACAAACGAAACAGATCCTCAGTGGCTGTTTATTTCACTCACTTTTGACATACTGTCTCATGGTAACTGTGAATGCTTTGCAGCAGAGACTTGAGGGTTATGCCATGACTGCAGAGCATGCAGCACAGTAAGACTCGGTCGGTCAGGGTGTCTAATTAGTGCTAGAAATGGGGGCAGTGGCAGGGCCAGCCTGGTGCTGGGGGAGCTGGACCTGCTCAGCACCCTGAGTAGGATGTATTATCCTGCCAGGACTTCAGGGAGTCACCGAATCGTGTCACCCGGCTGCGCATCTGTGAGAGCTGGAGCCTGCATGAAAACAGTCCTGGTAACTGCAGGAATTCAATATTAATTTGTGATATCCCTCTCTCATTTTTTAATAGGATTTCGCAATCTGCATGTGGATGACCAGATGTCAATAATCCAGTACTCTTGGATGGGCCTTATGGTTTTTGCTATGGGTTGGAGATCTTTCACCAATGTAAATTCCAGGATGCTTTACTTCGCTCCAGATTTGGTCTTCAATGAGTAAGTGCGGAATGTCAACAATCTAATATTGTGCTCTGTCTGGGTCAGACTAGGTGGGAAATGAGAACAAGGCAAGGAATTTGCTTTCCCATCTGCTCATGTACAGCTTGGGTAATTGTGCTTTCAGACCAACAAAGTATAGGAGGGCCCTGCTTTTCCCCTCTAATTGCTCTGCAGTGATCTTCAGGAGAATAAGGAGAGCTGCTGTGTCTCTCCTGGTCCTTCTTCCTTTTCCCTCAGCCTTGGGTTCGAGTTCCATTAGGGCAGCAGCAAGTTCTGGTGCTGGGTGCGAGGGGCTGGTCCAAACAGACCTGCTTTTTTTTTAAGGGATTTGAGTTCGTATTTTCAGCTTGATTGGTCAGTTGGACTGAGCAAAAACAGAAACAAACATTTACTGTAAGTTCCTGATGGGTTCTCTCTGATGTACCTTCAGCTTAGAGTTGGGAATGGTTTGTTGACACTAAAGTAGGAGACTTAGAACCAAGAGTAAGCACAGCAGGAATCAAAGCCACACCTTCTCTATGAAAGCCCCGAGCTCAGCTTTGTATCCCTCACAGATAGCCACATTTGGTGAATCATTGCAGTCATTTTTCAGGAAGGCAAAGGGTCAAATGAACCCTGCAAATCCCAGATAGTCATCCGTTTCCAGACAAAGAGGATTACACACGTACATTTTGGAAAACATTCCTCTCCTGCATGCTGGGCTATTGCTGCCAGCATCCCCCGAGACAGAGCTGAGGTTCCTGGCAGCGGGGATGTGCCCAGCAAGGCTGGGATTTCTAGGTCAGGCAGTGTGTCCTCCCCCACTCATCACAGAGGTGACACTGTGGTCTTCTTGCCGTAGCTTATGTGTCTTGCCCTGCCAGGTACCGGATGCACAAATCCCGAATGTACAGCCAGTGTGTCAGGATGCGGCACCTCTCTCAGGAGTTCGGGTGGCTTCAGATCACACCCCAGGAGTTTCTCTGTATGAAGGCTCTACTCTTCTTCAGTATTAGTAAGTACTCACATCCTTCCCTCAACAGATCTCCTCCAGTTGCTATACACCATATTTCCCTAGAGGTATCTGGTGCTTTCCCTGTGCCTACGTCCCAAGGGATGGCTGTGGCCGTTCTCCTCGCAGCTTCGATTGGAGCTGCTCAGACAACCAGCTGCCAAGCATAAGGGTGCGACTACCCAGCCCCGCTGCAGCTATCCCACCCCACCTCTGCCCAGCACAGCATTTCTGCCATGCAGCTTCTGCGGCAGGTTGCTCCTCAGCCTGACTGCTGTCATCGTGGGGACCTCCGAGCATCAGCTACTGAGCAGGAAAGTAGCGCTGCGGTTTGTTATGCTGCCTCTCCTTTTTAATGAGTGCTGAACAAGGGTCCTTGGTTTAGCAGTACTCCAACAAGCTGATCAGAGTGGGGGCCATAGCAGAAGCAGAGCTGGTCGGCAGATCTTTCCTCCTAGGTCTGCACTGACCACTTCTTCAGCTTTCCTCTTTAATTCTCTCCACTCTCTGGGCAACTCTTACTGTTTCCTTCCCATATTCCACCCAGTTCCAGTGGATGGCCTGAAGAACCAGAAGCTCTTTGATGAACTTCGGATGAATTACATTAAGGAACTTGACCGTATCATTGCTTGCAAGAGGAAGAACCCTACCTCCTGCTCTCGGCGATTTTACCAGCTCACCAAGGTCCTGGACTCCGTGCATCCTGTAAGAGAGGACACTGAAATATCTATCTATACACATAAGAAATGATGTAAGAAAGAAACTTTTTCCAGTGAAAGCAATCATTCACTGGAACAACCTCCCCAGGGTCCTGGTAGTCCCCATCACTGGAGGTTTTCAAGATGTGATTGGACAGGACACTAGATAGTCTCATCCAGGCTCCCTTTCCCAGGGAGGGTTGGTCTGGGTGACCTTTCAAGGTCCCTTCCAGCCTGGGCTGTTTGATGATCCTGTGATTGTGGTTTGTTTTTCAGCTCTTGGCACACCTTTGCAAGGACAGTTATTGCAGTGTGCTTCCAGGGGAAGTGACAGAGAAAAGACAGATGCTAACTCTACTGAGGGAGTGAAAGTTATCAGTGTCTGTCCCTCCCTGCAGTAACCACTCTTGTACTTGGGTTTTTGGGTTTCCGTTTTTAGCAATAAAAAGCTCTTTGTAGACAATACTTTTCCATCATCAACCTAGCAGAACAGCTCAAATTTTCAGTGTCCCCTATGAGTCTTCTCTGATTACAGCAGTGAAAACAAATTCTGTTTGTGACTTAAGGTTGTACTGGTGAAACGTGAGCTAGACCTTTCGTCTTTCCCGGGGCTCAGCTCTATGCTCATACAGTTGTATATCTACAGGCAAAAAGTAATTCTTAGTAAGTGAAGTCAGCAGGATCTGTACACAGTAAGATGAGTTTCTGTAGGGGTAAGAAAGTGCTTTTTTTTTTCTATACATCCCCATTTTTGTGGGACTCTAATGTCTGAGTGTGAAGGACCATGGCAAGATACCCTACATGCTCCCAGGCTGGGTAGTTCCCTCGCTCATCCTCAGGACGCATACCTGCCATCTGAGACCTGCCAGCAAGGCAGCGATGGCCAGAGAGCAAAGCAGGTCCCACTGCAGCAAGGTCCAGCCCTGGCCTGCTGTGCCTGCTAACATCTGCTTGGTATTTTCCTGGAGAAATTGCTGACCAAGGACTTCTCATTTAACAAACTTTCTTCCTTTCCCAGATTGCCAAGGATCTGCATCAGTTTACATTTGACCTCTTAATTAAGGCTCATATGGTGAGTGTGGACTACCCTGAAATGATGGCTGAGATCATCTCTGTGCAGGTTCCCAAGATCCTGTCTGGAAAAGTCAAGCCTATCTACTTCCACGCACAGTGATCTTCCAGAGGGACCTCCCAGTTCTGTCACCCCCTTTTCAGCCATCTCCTGCCTGTTATTTCTGCACTACTGTACTGCAGTGCCTTGGGGAATCCCCTCTACAGAGGCGGTGTGCCAAGATGGACAGTTACAAACAACTACCTGCTGGGATTCCTGAGATTTCTCTTTTTCCTGAGGTACCTCTGAACTGACGTACCTGCCATGGCTTCTGCCTAGATTTGGCTGGCTTGCTGTGCTGGGACAGGGGACTGTGGCATGGTGGCAGTGGCACCGTATCTACGCTCTCTCGTTTGTGTGTTTTCTGCAGTGACTTTTAGTGGCCCATGGCCATGAGAGATCATGAGAAATGCCAGCAGTTGTTCAGTAGTTTTTTTTTTTAAAAAAAAACAGAGCAAGACAAGATGCTGGTTGAACCTATAATTCTGGGTGTGGGTTACTTTACTGGCCTCCTTTGAGACTTTTTATTTGCATTATGGTGCTGGGAAGCAGATGAATTAAAATATTGCAGTAGAGAAACAGAGATGAGTTGGGGGGACGAGACAAATTTGCAGCCTGATGAATTTACGGGTCCTGCTGCTGGGTCAGAAAGCTGCCGCACAGCCGTTGAGGGGTCTGCTCCCGTCAGCACCCCCCCACCATCACCCCTGGTCCCACAGCATGCGAGTGTTCGTGTTAGCTGGTGGAGCATTACAGGATTGTCACCAGAAGCGCTGGAGAGGAGGATGACCTTCGGAAATCCCCCCAAATGGCGGATGGCTACTGTTTTCCACCTGGGATGTCTCTCGTACGGCCGGTGAAGCTGGATCTCAGCCTGCCCCGCAGACAGCCAGGTGCTCAGCAGCTACATTCCCGTCCTTGGCAGCTGCTGCTCCTCCGACACAGCCGTACCCACCTCCACAAGTGCCTGACGCCCTCAGACCTCACGCTCTGCCCTCCTCCCACAGGCACCCTCCCGCCCAGCCCCTCAGCAGCTCTGCTCTGTGCCCGCAGACCCCAGGTTTCCAGCTACACAACTTATTTTTCCATTTGTCCCAACTATTCTTTCTGATGCCAGCAGAACCCTGGGAGCGAAGCAGCGGGGCTGGGATCTGCAGGACCTGCGAGGCCACGGGGTTCTCGCTGTTAATCCCGTCCTTTGGGAGACCCTCTGCCCTCCCGAGTGGTGCGCGTGGCTCCCGCTAATTGCAGTGGTTGATTGCAGCCCAGGCGCAGTGCCTGCCCCCAGCAGCCCCACGGAGCATGGCGGTGGCACAGCCCGCACCCCGGCCGACGCAGCACAGGCTGCAGCTCTGCCGTGAGGATGGATAAACGGGCCCTGGCTAACAGGGGCTCCCGAGCCACGGCCAGCAAACAGCATGGCCCCCAGCAGTCAGGAATATCTGAGAAAAGCAGGCTTGGTTTGTCAGGCGTAAGTGTTGGCTTGACTCTGTTTCACACCTCAAGTTGAGAAAGAAATGCAGGCCCACTCAACACCTGTGTTCAGATTTATTTGATGGGCTCCACTTTCCACAAAGTGGCCGAGCCTGTGCTCCCCGTGGTATTTTAGTTCCCCCCTTCCCACACAGCCACGAGCCCACCAAAGCCACCCGGTCAGACCCGGCCAGGGATGCCAGCGAGCACGGTGTGCGTACAAGCTCTTGCCAAGGTAATGCTTCTCACCAGGGGCCGCGACACCATCCGGCTTTACCCACACAGACATCTACAAGGGGTCCTTCTGCTGGAGCAGGTGAACAGCAAGCCTGCGCCTTGCCACACGCGGTTCGTTGGCAGGTGGTGGCTTTGCTGCTGTGGTACGGAGCGGAGCTTGTGGCAGAGCTGTGCCCACCCAGGGCACTGTGCCCACTCAGATCTGTGTGCCCACCCAGGGCACTGTATCCACCCAGATCTGTGTGCCCACCCAGATCTGTGTGCCCACCCAGGGCGCTGTGCCCACCCAGATCTCTGTGCCCGCCCAGGGCACTGTGCCCACCCAGAACTGTGTGCCCACCCAGGGCACTGTATCCACCCAGATCTGTGTGCCCACCCAGGGCACTGTGCCCACCCAGATCTGTGTGCCCACCCAGATCTGTGTGCCCACCCAGGGCACTGTATCCACCCAGATCTGTGTGCCCACCCAGGGCACTGTGCCCACCCAGAACTGTGTGCCCACCCAGGGCACTGTATCCACCCAGATCTGTGTGCCCACCCAGGGCACTGTATCCACCCAGATCTGTGTGCCCACCCAGGGCGCTGTGCCCACCCAGATCTGTGTGCCCACCCAGGGCACTGTGCCCACCCAGATCTCTGTGCCCGCCCACAGGGCGCTGTGCCCACTCAGGGTGCTGTGCCCACCCAGGGCACTGGTGTGGCCTCTGGCACAGAGACACCACAAGCACAAAGCAGATGCTGGAGTCTGGAGAGCTGAGCCTGATCAGACACATGCGTCACATCACACTGTGTTCCCCCTGAATAATACCAGCGACTCGTGCCTGTCAGATGTCTTTAGAAGTGAAGGGAATTAGGTTTAGGCCAGTTGATTGCCATGTGCGTGTCACGGAGGAAGGCGTGCTAATGCTGCTGCTAATGAGCTGAGCCTCACCGTAAGCTCATCAGGCAAATGGCCTTATGGTACGATTGGGTTCTTTGCCAACTCTCAGTAAAACAAACACTTAATTTCTTGATACTTTTCAGTCATGCTATGGGATTTTCATTAAGGGAAGGAGTAGGGAAAAAACCCAAAACTATCAAAGGGGGAGATCTTTCTTTACAGTTGTTTTTGATGAGTTTTCCTCCCCTGCTACATTCGGCTCTGATCATGCTGTTCCTCCTGAAATCCCCTCATGGAGGTGGCAACAGAATCCGTAGACATCCTTCCTGAATGCCAGCCAACAGGATGGTGTTCTCAGTAGCTTTTCCTATTTTAGAGGGCTGCAAGCATTTTAAGTGTTGATATGATCTACTAGTATTTGCAAATTAACCAGCAAAGAAGTCCTGCTGGTGCATTCCTCTCTTCTTGACCATTTTCTGGCTATTAGCAGAAGAGTACAATGGCCTGGGCGGGTAATGCCCTGTTCTCTGTCATCAACAGGAGGATGTTTATGAGCAAGCTGAATAGCTTCCTTGGAGAGCTTTGTATTTTGCACAAGCTCATGTCAGTAAAGTTTTTATTAGTTAATGAGTGTGGAGGTATCCTGCTGGGTACTTTTCTGCTGGGAGATTGAGAAGAAATCAAACTTAATAGGGATTTGCATACACTGATTTGCTTCTGGAAGCATAGTGCAAATGAAAAATGGTTTAGAAGGGGATATTACCTGTGTGTCATCTGCCAGATGTGTGCCACTCACGTGTATGTTGCCTTTCCAATGGCGTATCCTTCCAGAAGGGACTAGGAGCTTGTGTGAAGTACCCCCAGCCAACAAGCCCCCCGAGTCCCTCTGCACATGAGTGGGGCAGTGGGGTTATGGTCACTGTCTTTTCCACCTCAAAGTAAACTTCTGCGACTTTTTAATTCATAATTTGACTTTTTATGTTGTTATTAGAGGGATGAGTGGAGGATGGGGGTTCACCAGCACCTGTGTGTGTTTTTGCTGGGGAGGAGTTAACACTGTTTCCTTGTTTATTTTCATGGGCTGCTGCAGGAACTGGGGAAAAAAAGAGGCTTAAGAAATACCAAAGTCCAGGTCCTGACATATATCTTTGTACTTTGTGTTTTCTTCTGCGTTTTCTTGTCCACGTCTGCTTTAATAAAGCAAAGAGAATGTCACCATTTTCACAGTCATGTAGAAGCTGTCCCTGAGGCTTCCTTCGGGACGGCCAAGCCCCAGGAGAGGGGACACCCTTGGTGTCGCTGACTCGCGGTGCCAGGGAGCAGACCACTTCCACGTCCCCTGTGGTCTCGCTGGCTCTTCTCTGGGTTATCTAGGAAGTGGGTGGGCTTTTGTGCTGACTTAATCTGGGTCACAGCTCAGACCGTCAGCTCCTGCCCAAGGCAGCACATGGGAAACAAGCTACATGTGCATTGGTGTCAGCCTGGGAGGCAGCGTTTTTGCACAGAAGGGTGCAATCTTGTGAGATGAAGGGTGCAAGATGAGGTTGCTTTTAGTTAGCGCAGAAGGAACCCTTAATCCTACGTGATGCCAGAAGAAGTGAGCCAGATGGTGCAGCGCAGGTGTGTGCCCAAGCAGGCAGCGTTCCTGGGCCAGTGGCCACAGACCTTCCATCGCCCACCTTCCCCCAGCAGGCGCCAGCCAGCCCCGGCCACCATCACCAGGGAGCTCCACTTAGCAAGGGCGAGAGCTACTCCGCTTGGCGAGACTGTGTGAATGGTTCTGGAGAGCCTGGCAGCATCTGAGCACTGTTCCCGTAGAAGTCAAAAGGCCCTTTGCGCTTTGCTTCAGGAAAACCGGAGTTTGAGCCACGGGCACCGCACACGGCGCGCGGCGAGGCCGGTACCAAGTGAGCCAGCCCTGCGGAGGGCGGGCGGCCCGCTCGCCGCCCGTACCACCAGCGCTGGTTTCACACTTGCTGTGGCCTGTGCAGTGCTGGTGGGCTCGCTGCCGTGGTCCGCAGGGATGCTGAGGTGGTACCTGAGGTGTCGCCGGCAGCACCACTGGAAGAGCTGGCCTCCCTCGCTGAGTCACTTGCCAACACAGGCTGTCCCTGCAGCTCCCTGCTACGTGTGGCTGTTGCTCCACTTACTGATCTCTCTCCGTAGATGTTTCAATAACATATGTTAAACATGTATATAGTTATGTACAAAATTTAAAAGGCATGCCCCAATTTATATTGCTAAAGATACCTATTTAATGCTCTAAGAGAGTTTCTTTTCTGATTGCACACTGATTGCAACTAAATATTCCTTGGGAGATGAGTCAGTATGTGCCAATATTAACGGACACTTTTGATTTAATAATTTTTTCTGGTTAGGTACTTTCCAATTTTCAAAGGTCCGTTCTTTCATGGCATGAATGAAGCATACGCTGACACAGTCTGGTGTCAGGATCTGCTTCTCCAGCTTTCTTGTAGCTGCTTCTGGTTAGACGGGGATAGTATTTGCACTTGGGGGGGATGACAGAGTGTCCTTTATTTCTGCCCTCTTTGACTGCACAAAGTGTCCTTGCACTTTAGGGCAGAACCCTGGAATTACAGCGTGGTAGCTGTTTTCTAACTGTTTCAAAGCAGACTTTTAGAGGCACAGCAATCCCTTCTTGTACCGTATTGACTGGCCGAGTCACGCTCTGCCCTGTCACGTCCCGGTGCCCCCTCTCAAATGACGGAGTACCTGGAAGCTGGCAGCTGCGTGGGGTGCCGGTGGGGTGGGGGCACAGGCAGCGGGTGCTGGCGCCGGTGGGGCTGGCACTGGGGCAGCGGGGATGGAAATCTGCTGCAGGTCTGGGCATGGCCCGGCAGCCCCGCCACAGGCGGGGGTCTCCAGCCTGTTTGGGGGGGGGACGGCGTGGGATGGGGGGAGAGTGGCCTGGGCTGCAGCCCCCCCAGCGCCCACCCACGACCGCTCACCTGGAGGGACTTTTGCTCTGTTCCCTTTTAAAATGGCAGGGGAACCTGCACTTGTGACTCAAAAAGTAAATATCTGCACCACACGTAAGACCACAGCAAATTTATAATAAGCTGCTCTCTGTGCCGGGTATTTTGTGTTCTGTGGCAATTTAATGCTGTTTTTATTTGTTAACATGTCTCTGTAATAAAAAGAGTTCTCTATATTGATATATTTTATTTTCTTTGTAATAAGCCAAAAAGCTCATTGCTGGTGCCTTTTTGCCTGTGGAAGACTCCCAGCCCACAGATATATTCATGAAAGTAACAATGCATAATGTCTCTGCGATTGCTTGTTTCACCACAGCTGAGTAAAGTCATAAAGCAAACACTGCAGGATGACCAAAGGAAAAAGAACAAGTATCTTACAGACTGGACAGAAAGACTTTCAGGTACAATAATGTGGTTATTTCCCTAGGCCTGGTTCCAAGGCGAGGGCCAAGCTTTCAACTTCTTGCGCATGACATGGGAAAATCCTTTGCCCTGTCTCGGTGGGACTTTGCTGCTGTGTTGAGAACCTTTATCCTCTGCAAGATGTACAATGAGGTCAAAGCATACACATATAATTTTATTATGGTTGCAATTGTGTTACGGTTGCAATGCTATAGGCTTTTTCAGTCACCTTTCAGAAATGGCAGCATTTTCCCTGAATTAATAACACCTGAGGCCAAATTCTGCTTCTAGAGAAGGACATTAGTTGGTTTGTTGGCACTGCTCCTTTTTTTTTTTTTTTTTTTTTTTTTTCCGAATTGGAATTGAATACACTGAGTAAGGAAAATAGAGACCTACAATGTTGTGACGCCGTCAAGACTGGAGAGCAGTGACATCCGCTGCCTTGGCCAGCGAGAAGCAGTGGAAGATGAACACGAGATATCCATGACTCAGAAGTCACAATATGGGACTGAGGGACGTTTATTCTCGTAAACAAAGAGAAGCCTGTCTGACATCTGGGATAAAGACAAAATCAATGACACTACACTAGGGGAAATTAAAATACTCACTTTTTGACTGTTTTCGTCCATGCTTGTGTCCCATGCAAGACCTCAGCTTGTGCTGTGCCACAGGGCAGACCTTCACGCTTGGTGTTCAGCTCTTTTTTGTAATCTTAAAACCTGTTGTTGTTCTAAGTACAATAAAGGCAGAATCTTGTTTGTTGGAACGCTGCTCTAGGCGTGTAATTGGCTTTTGTTTCAGTTATGTGCATGAAAAATGTTATCCAGTGTGATGAATATTAGCTATTGACGATGCCAGGAATAAGTGGGTCGTTTTTCAGTGGATGAGGCTGTATGTTGGGTCATTCATAGGCTATTTTCCACAGTCAGATTTTGCTATTAATCAAATGTCTGAACTGTTAATTCATTTAGGCATCAATTGACTAATCCTTTCATATATGCCTCTCTGGGTCTTTTAAATTGAATTTCATTTGATTAATGTATTTCTCAAAGCAAGGAGCTAATAAAGGCCAGTGTCCTCCTCTCTTTGTTGTTGTTTTCAGTATCTTTATGAGCAGTTGTAAATCCATTCTGCTGGAACTTCTTTATAAAATTGACCTGTGATCTCTAAGTAATAAAAAAGACTGCTTATCGGTGCACTTTTTAATTCAAGGCACAGATGTGAATACTGCACAGGGTCAAGATTTTATTCGCTGTGAAACAAACCAAAGAGCTCGGAAAAAAAAATAATCCTTCATCAGTCCATAAATAGCTGGCAATGTCTGGTGTATAATTGCACAGCAGCAGTACGTGTACCAATACCCCACAAGCTGAAAGTAAAATGTAGTTAGCAGCACAAAAAGCCTTGCCCAGGTAGAGCAGTGTCATGTTTAGTCATCTGCAGAAAATCTGGCCCCATCCCTTTTTGGCATCACAGTTAAAAATGAATGTGTTTCAAAATTCACCCTTAATTGACATTGAAAAATCCACAGCTGTTCAGGGGCTGTGGTACCTGCTCAGATACCTGTCAACACGTTAGTCCCAGTGTCCCCTGTCAGACCTTGACTTGGCCACCAAAGTCCCCTGGGACATTCAGGAGCCACCAGTCCAACACATCACGGGGTGCTGGACCCAGTCTTTCATGTGGCTGCGCATCTCCTGCTTTTGGGCCGGCCTCTGGCCTCGCAATGGGCTCCAGCCCTCCCTGTGTGGCTTGCACATATCTGCCCATGTGAGAACAGTAAGGACGTCAGTCTGGGTGTCTGTAGAGGGTTGGGTCTGGCCTGAAGGGCAACTTCACTTCATCTGAACTAGTCTTGCTCTGTTACACTCCAGCCGTTTCTGCTGCACGTCGAGCATCCATCCACCACGATGTTCACCATGACCTTACAATTACTTCAAAATTGCTGATACCCCTGACCGTTTCCAACAGCGCGCAAGCCGTGCAGTCTGGCAGAGCTGGTGACTGCTGCCGTGCCGGCACGGCACGGTGCCAGTGCTTGTGCTGAGCCGGGTGCCCGGAGGCTCCAGAGCAGCCCTTGGAGAAGCCTCTGATCTCCAGCTGAGCGGCACCGAGCACTCCAAACCCAGTCCAGTTACTGTGAAGGTAATGGTGTGCAAGTCCCGGCTAGGTTCAGCCAAGGAAGAAGGTGGTAATCATGGTGTTCAAGTCCAGGACAGGTTCAGTCAACATCTTCCTTCTTACCTCATTACTCTCTGCCAAAAGCCAAGCACACCTGGGTAATACAGAACCAGTGAATGTCTGGCAGGGACAGTTTCTGATAATAATAACTGTAGAACTGGTCAACTCTCTGCTCTGGGTCTGATTTCAGAGCACAAGGTGTTCAGATGAAGCTGCTAGTGTCACTTTGGTGACACTTTGGCTTTTGGGAAGTCCCTGTGATTGCTCACAGACACATACACACAAGCAAGGGCTCCAGGGATTGTTTAGCTCCTAACCAGGTTGTGGGGACATAGCCCCATCAGCTCTGATGGGTTCATCATCCCCCAGCCAGAGGAAAAAGACCAGGCAAGGGACACATGGTGGTTGCAGGCGTGGAAGGGCTCCAGGGCAGGAAAGTGAAGAGCCCAGGACCACTTATATTGGTGAGGGGTGTCTTGGGGCAACATTTCTACACACGGTGAAACCCGTAGACACACAAGAATGCCTGTGAAATCTCATGAAGATGGTCATGCAAAACCAACACTCTCTGCAGCCCACAGCACAGCCCCGTTCCCAGTGGGGCCGGCAGGGAGGTGATGAGGCTGCAAGGCACCCAGCCCCTTGGTCGGGAGGCTGCGAGCTCCCCGCCACTGGCGCTGGCAGAGCTGCCCCAGCTCTGCCCCACGGCATCGCCTCCAGCCAAAGCTGGGAGGCTCTGTGCGAGCCAAGCAGGGGCCAGGGACCACGGGCAAAGCCCAAGCCCCCCACCCCACCCCCACTCCCCCTTGAGCATTGTGTGGGCAGAACCAGGGCTTGGACACACCAAAGGGATGCAGGATGTGCAGCTCCTGCCCGGCAAAGCCACACTCCCCTGACCCGCGCAAGAGCCACCCCAGCCCTCCATCCCGGTGGAGCCGGGGGGCTCGGGGGGCTCAGTGCAGCCCAGCCTCCAGACAGAAGGGAGAAACGCCCAGGCCAAGTGCTCTGTTCTTGGCAGTGGTCTTGCTCTGGAGCACAAACCCACTTAATATCCACCATAACCATTCAATTTAGAAAAAACAACACTTCCCAGCAGGGAGGAGGACTTACTGGGAGGTCTGAGAGGGCTGCAGAGCCTCACTTCATGCTGCCAGGTTCGTTTTTCTGTAGGTCTCTGCAGACTCATGGCCCTAACCCTCCTGGCCCAGTTAGCAAACAGCCCCTGTCCCAGGCAGGCTGCCGGGTGCTCTTCCTGGCCCCCTGTGATAACAAATGCTGTGGGACCTTTTCTGAAGGGCTCTGTCAGCTGAGCACGCGGGGCTGCTCGGGGAGATGGCAGCGCACAGTGTGCAGCAGGCTGAGCCTGGCAGGGGGGCCTGTCGGCTGCAGGACGGGCTCAGACAGCAGAAATCGTGAGGCATCAATCTTGCTTTTTTTTTTTTTTTTTTTTTTTTTTCTTTTTGCTGAAAACATCTCATGTCAAGCAGCCCTAAAATGGCTCCGTGCTTTAAAGTTTAAAACAGTTTGCTAGCTTTATTCCTTAGAACAGCCAGTGGGAAAACAGAAAAAATGTTCCATTTCCTAAACCGATAATGAGTTGCTTTAAACACACCCTTCGGCAGTGGTTTACCTCCCCAAGGGCCCTGGGAGCGCTGCACACACCGACACAGCTGCACTGACAACCGGCGGCTCGTCTGCCTTCCAGTCCTGTCAGGGTTTCGGCTGCACTGACCCTCTCTGGCTGCACCAGAATGGAGGGACTTGCTCTGCACATTGGATTATTTCAGGAGATGGGGACAGACCTCAGTCAGCAGCACAGCCCAAACCCATTCCAACCGCAGGGACCCCCACCTGCTGCTGAAGCCCCACATCGACAGGGGATTCCCCTGCACACACAGCCTGGGTCTCTGCATCGGCCAGGATCCAGCTGTTGGACTGTCCTGTGGCTGAAAATATCTTACAGCACTTACTTATTCCAGTCAAAGAGCAGAAGCAGGACCAGGAGCCACCAGGATGCTGGCCTTCCATGGGTCAAAAAACGCCTACAGACTATTTAAACAAAGCAATTGCAGACAATGGCTAGAGACTGCCTTTTATACAACAGGACTCCCAGCTGTGAGGAGCTGAGTGGACCATGTGCCTGAGGCCACAGTGCCTGATAACTAGCAGATTAGGTGTTTATTATGAAAGTCTTTTAAATTTAGTTTAGTTTCTTCACTTTGTGTGACATAAGCTTTTGCAGCTCCCCCCGGGACAGCCTAATTAGAACTCCAGGCTTCACCTGGAGCCCGCAGAGAGTTTGGCTGCTGCTGCCCCCGCGCCGGTACCTGGGCTGTGTTTGGCCCCAGCGAAGGTGCCGCTGGGCTCCTGCAGCTCACTGAGTGCCCAGCCTGAGCGAACCCCTGCGGGAGCACCACGAAATGCTCTGAGCTGCAGGTTTTAACAGGAGAGCCGCTTACAGCCAGCACGGGAGTGGGAGTGCAGCAAAACGCTGCCTCTGGTCCAAGGCTTTTAGGGTGGTGGTTTTGTTCTTTTTTTTTAGCACGTGCACACACACCAGCTTCACACGGAACTCATCCTTAATGTCAGGAAGAGCGTGACGAGTAACGAGGCTGGCAGCAGGCATCGTCAGCATGTGTTGCTGAGCCGGGGCAAAGTCGTCAGGTTCACCCAGGTGAATGGGGAGACGCGTGACCTGCCCAGTCCCGCTGCTCCGGGGGGGACGCCTGCGCTCCGTTCACCAGCTCCCCTTTTGTACCTGCCCCTTCCGCGGGGCAGCTCACCCCATCCCTGCCCGGGGAGCAGCAGGGAGGGGGCAGGGGCTGCTTTCCGTGAGGTTACCCCTCCGGAGATCCCTTCTGCGACGCACCAGCCGAGGAGCAGCCAGCGTGGCGAAGGCGCTGCCGCTTCACCGGGGCAGAGAGGGGGTAATGCAAGAGCTGCCGGAAACCCGCTCATTCACCGACTGGCGTGGATTTTTCCTCGCGAACGCTGAAGCTCGTGTCTCAGCACACTCAGCACCTCTGGTGTCCCGCCTGGCTCGAGCCAGCAGCGTCGAGACCTTGTGTGTGCCGGACCCCGGCACCCCGCGCAGCCGCCGCAGGCCTCAGCGGGGTCACGCCGACTCGTCCGCTCTTGACATGAGGAGCGCCTTACCCCAAATCGCTGCCGGCGGGTAGACGCCAAGGAGAGGGCGAGCAGGGCCCTGCCTGCCCCGTCCCCGCCGGAGCAGAGCGGCAGAGCGGTGCCGGGATGAGCCCGCGGGGCGGGGGCACCGGGGGGGGACCGGGGTGTGCAGGACACGGAGCACAGGGTGCCGGACGCGCAGGAGGATGGAGGTCCTGGGGAGCAACGTGTTGGGGGGGACGTGAAGGGGGTATGTTTCTCTCAGCCTCGGCGAGAATGGCAACATTTTATGTATGATTTCACAACTCTTCAAAACTTCTGCCTCTCACAGAGGCTGTGAACGCGCTTCTTCCCTGAACTTCTGAAAATATGACAATAAAAAACATTGCAGCTTTTACTGGCTCAAAGCATCTCCTGATTTTTTAAGCCAATCGCAGGATATTTTTTGGTGGCCCGACTCTTGATTTATGGAGGTATAGGCCGAGTAATGCTGCTGACAGTTGCCAAGAAAACGTCCGGTGTAGAAAGCTGGTCCTAAATCAGAGCATTCAGCTGGTTAATTGTGCAGTGAGTTGGGCCAGAGAGAATTACAGAGCTTAAAACTAAGACTCTGATCTTGCAAGAAGTCCTGTGTGGGTGGATTCCTGCGCCTTTATGGGTCTCTGTGCAACACATAAATTTAAGATGTCAGTGCTCCACTTAGTATATTTCAATTCTAAATTTATCATATAGATGTGTCTACTGAAGTGTGCCTTTAACCTCTCCAAATTCTTCCTCT